CTGGGAATGGAGTTACAGATGGTTTGATCTACCCTATGGGTGCTGGGCATTGAAACGGGGTCCTGTAGAAGAGCATTCAGTTCTCTTAACCTCTGAGACATCTCTCCAGGCCCCCACACTAGTTTTTAGAGGTGTAAAATGTCACTGTGCCCCACCAATCTGAGTAGAGGTTCCATAAGGAAAGGTGATCAGCGCAAATTCTGTATAACATTCACTGTGCCCTGTGAAAACTCCAGTGTCATTTGAGAATCCAGGTTTCTTCATAAGAAGTGTCTTGTTTCTCTCAGGTTAATTTATTGACTGAATGTTTAGCAATTTATGATGTGCCTGGGTGTGAACTTACTCACTTACTGCTGAAGCCTTGCATGCTCTCTCTCTCTCTCTCTCTCTGTCTCTCTTTCTGCACATTTGTAAATATGGAGGTTGATATCTGGTGTCATCTTCCATGGTAACCCCCCTGCACTATCATTATTTTTTTGATTCGTGTGTGTGTGTGTGTGTGTGTGTGTGTGTGTGTGTGTGTGTGTGTGTTGCACATGGAGGTCAGAGGGGAGCTAAAGGGAGTCAGTTCTGTCCTTGCACTATGTGGGTCCCAAGGACCGAACTTGTTGCATCAGGCTTAGTGACAAGTTCCCTTACCTGGTGAGCCCTCTCATCTGCCCTCTACATCTTATCTTTTGAGACTGGGTCTGTCTCAGAGCTTACAGACTGGATAGACTGGCTGCCGGTGAGCTGCCTGGATCTGTCTTTCTCCACCTTTCTGTCCTAGAGTTACACAGGCCACTGTGCATGGCTTATTTTATTACATGGATCCTAGGGATCTGAACTCAGGGTCTCATAATGCACAGCCAGCACGTTACTGATAGAGTCATCTTCCCAGCTTGGCCTCCACCTCCTTCTCCCCTTCCTCCTTTATCCTTACCCTCCCTGTCACCCGTTTCTTAACCTCTTCAGTCCTGAGATTGCAGGCATGCACACCACTCTGGGCAGAATGCCTTGATCTGAAGGAACCAGAGTTCACACAAGCACTTTCTAAATCAGTCTTTGAGCGCTGACTCAAAGGAAGTGATGTAAGATCCTGGGGATGGGGTGACACACAGTGTGCCACATCTGAACCCGAGAGAAGGTTGCTGAGCATTAAGAGCAGACAGCGGATGCATGACCATTGACACAGCGCGAGAGAGGACAGACTGGAATTGGAGCTGCGTTCACTCTCTTCTCTTTATAGATTGTGTTGCCAGTAAAATAAAAATATAAAAACAAATCCTGCAGTGATGATTGCCTACAAAACCTTTCATAATGTTGGAACAAATGATAACTGAAGAAAATATTTGAAATCTAAGATATTTTGACATTCACACTGCAAGGTAATATTTATACTAGAAAGCCAAGCTACTTAAGGAACTATAGAATAAAATTATAACAGAAATTGCTAACATTTTTTGGTACAACCAAACACAAAATAAATATGTATTCACCATTGTAAAGTAGAACCATGATGCACCCAGATGTTTACAGGAGTTCTCACCATAGGTGATAGAAATGTTATTTTCAAATAGGGTACAAATCTGTCTCTAACAATTCTAGAGTTTTATGTTCAAAGATAATATAATAAGTTAACTATTAATAAGTATTTTTCATAATGGGTTCATCCAATATCTGATAGCTAGACTCATATTCTCTACCCAGTATCTTATTGTGTGGATCCAATTGCAGAAATTGTCAATTAAATTAAATTAGAATCAGATCCTTATGCAGCTCTTTCATGACAGAGAGATGAATAGTGTTGTGGTGAGTTAGCGTGCAACAAAGGGCAGCTACCAACAAGTCCTGTCTGCTTGCAAACACATTTATTTATCAATATTGAAAAATGAATTCACATTTTTATGAATAAAGCAATTATAGAGGGATATAGAATGGCACTTTACTGTGCATTCATTACCTGGTTACACAGTCTATAATTTATGTTACTGCAGACTCTCTTCATGTATCGATTAAGTGTTTCCATGCATTTCAGTTCTGTGATTGGTGTCAATGGATTCTATTGACTGAAATTTCACAGTACATGTCATTCCAAATAAAGGTGTTTTGATTCTTTATCATTTCTTTACAATTCCATAAGATCCTTTCTGTGGCTGGATAATTAACCTGCTTTCAAGCAGTTAAAAATGGGCTTTTTGTTGTTAAATTATTGTGTTTAGGAAACAACAATTCTATAATGTATGATATTTTCCCCCAGTGAAATTCTCAAAGAACAAATCTACCTGTGGCTATAGATCTAAGATAAGAAATCCCTGGCTAAAAGAGAGAAAGACGAGTTCTTTTGAAAAAATTTACCTAATTTGTCCTCACATATCCCACTCCTGGACTCACAGTGCTGAGAAAATCATTTTCATAATCTGCAGTTAAAGGTGCTTCTCCAGGGTGCTTAGCTGGAGAAAATATCCATATTATTTTGATTTGCTTAGAACTCTCTCAAGTCAAGGCTGTGAGTCACTAGGATTACTGTCTAAGAATAAAAACATCTTTAAAGTGCTTTGGTTGAAGTTTGTCTTACCCACAATATTAGAGAACTGAGATTTCTTTTATGCTTATTAAAGAGATAAACGAGAGGGACATTTCCTCAATTTCTTCCACTGAGCATGCCAACACTCAGCCGGAAGTCCATCCCTGTGGATCAGCACAAGGGGGCTAAAGACTGCATAACCATGGACCAGAAATTTTCGGATAATCATTATCTCAGAATCGTTTTGAGATAAGTCTGAAGAGAGACTTAAAAATAGAGAAAAAGCACAGTCAGTCCAATAGAAAAAAACAAAACACAGCATCAGAAGGAGGACACTCTGGGCAGCTCTCAGCTCAGGGGGAGTTCTGTAGAGAAGCTTGGCCTTCTGAAGGTAGAGGACATGCTGGTGGTGCTTGTGGAGAAGAGATACCAT